GAAGAGCGAACGAAATGTCGTCTTGTGTGTAGCATAGAGAAACGCGGCGTGTGTCTCTTAGAACGACATCGTTGTAGGTAGAAGTAGCAGAAGTTGTTCCTCGAAGAGAACAGAACGAAGCAGAAGAGAGTAGAGCATGGAATAAATGCAGAGCGTCCTCGGTTTGCCAGCTCGGGGGGCCCGAGGCCCGTCGCGGGGCACCCATACGCGGAACCGGGCCCCGCGTATTCCGACGGTGAGGCCCACGGGCGAAAGGCGTCAGGCCCCGACACGCCGCACGTATTAGAAACGAATATAAATATATCGAGAGGAGCGAGAGACAGAGAGAGAGAAAAGGAGACTCTACGGCGAAGAGGGGAGTTCGCGCGCGTATTGGTAACGTCGGAGAGTTATACACGCACCGACGTGGGCACTCGCACGCTCGCACGCTCAGCTCGCTCGCTCGCTCGTTCCTCCTTCCTCGCGCAGGGCCGGCACTCGCTCGCGGGCCCCGGCTTGTCCCCCTCACGCCGCGTGTCCCGCAGACACCGGGGCCCGCTGAGTCCCAGAGTATGCTCAGTGTCCGCTCGGCCTCAGCACGCCCCGTGCCGGTAGAACGAAGGACGATGACGCCGCCTCTCTGAAGGTTTTAATGCGCGTCGCGTCGCGCCGCGCGTCAATCGCATTCCGTCATGTTTTCCACGATCGCGTCACACGACCAATCGTCGCGACGAAGTTTCCACGCGGGTGTCATCCGGATTTCTCGCAACTGAAAACGGACGTGATCGACTCGCGGAGGAGGAGCACGCTCAGAGGAGTGCTCCGAAGAACGGAATGACGCTTAACGACGAAACGGACCCGCTCGATCACGAATAATCGCTGATCATTCCGCGCAACACGCTAATCGTTCGCGGCTGTCATCCGCGCATACTAGTTTCCACGCATCTGCTGCAATCAGGTCCTGAGAAGGATCTGAGCAAGTTCCAGATCGCATATCTCGGGCCGTTCGACCAATCGTGTTTGTACCGCGCGATAGGTGTCGCGTATTAAAACGTTAATCCGTGCTGTACTACCGGTTATACGTACAGATTGGTCCTCATCCCTCCGGTCTGCCTTACCCACCCTATTTCTTCCCAGCTATCTGTCTCTCTCTCTCTCTCTCTCTCTCTCTCTCTCTCTCTCTCTTTCTCTTTTTCTTTCTGTTTTCCTCTTTCTTTATCTTTCACGATTCTTCCCTCCCGCGATCCTCACCTCCTACGGCGATTACTTTCGCCGGAGCGCACTCGGTCCTCTCCCTTTTCTCGTTCTCTCTCCGATCACTCCGTCTCTTGCTGCCTCTTCCTCCCCCGCCGTCGTCGTCTCTATTGCCCTTGTTGCTCGAGACCGAGGTCGCGAGGTTTGCTCGCGTTTCGCGAACGCGCGTGCCAATCGAGAGATGGTGAACGAGCGGCGCGATGAGTCCGATCCCACCGGTGGCGAGACGCTCGCGAGACGACGACGATATTACACCGCGCGATTGAACTCTCCATCATTCTCGCGTCCGCTCCATTCTCCGTTCGGCACGAGACGCTTCTATTCTGACGGGGTATCTTTGTATCGTGAGACGTCTCCCTCTCGCAGTACGAAATGTCGATTGTGTTTCGCGAATTTTCTCATTTCCTCCCTAAGTCCGTTCTGCAAAGGACGCGAGGAGAATGACGTGCAGCGATGAACTTCGACGCGATGTTTCTACGAAGGTGGTTTCTACGCGGGCGTTGTTGACGTATCGTGATAACGGAGAGAACTGCAACGGAAGGTATGTCGGCGAACAGATCGAGAAGGATGTTTCCCGTGATCTCGGACTTCGTTTCGCGAAGTTGCTGTTGTGATCGTCAGTTATTATAAATACGCTTGTGAAGAATTTGATTTGTAAGAAATGAAGCTTATTCTTCGTCTTCGAGGAGACAAGCCACTGGACCTGTTGATATGAGTCGGAAAAACATTCTGGGGAACAGAAGAAGAAGAAGAACAGATTGGCGAGTCTTTGTGGCGATTGGCGAAAATGCATTCGGGGAAAAGCATCGTGAGGAGGAAAGTTGAAGTGATAGATCACGATGTCTTGGCGACCAATTAGTCTATTGATCAGCTAAATTGACGTCAAGGAAAAAATATTGATGAGAGATAAGCTGAAGCGGGTATATCTCATTAAAGCTTCCCCAAGAAGACTCCAAATATATCGCCACGAAAACATCGCTCGTGACGGACAAACGCCTCTTTGACGAGCCATCATTTCTAAGAAAGCCGGAAAGTCAGGCTCCAGACGCAATCAAGAGCGTATACCACGAGAGGCATTTAATACGTTTATACCGGGCAGAAGGGTTCTACGTGGGAGCAAAAAGCCCAGTGTGTCTCGAGTGCCCCGAAGCGTCGTCTTATTAGCTTTTGTGAGAGAACGGGCGGCGGTGGTCGCGAAAAGGGACATAATATACCGTAGGGGGGAAGAAGGAAGGAGAGAGGACCCCGCCGGCGTTCCCTAGATTAGAAGGTCTCGGCCACGGCGATTATTACCGTCGGGCTGGGGTTACGCCGTGAAGCACACGGAGGAAGAAACCGCCGGTGGAAATCGATCTTAACGACCACCTCGTCCTCGTCGGTTGTCGGTCCGGATGTGGTTGTCGCTGCTCGTCCATCGCGTTCGCCGCCATTCGTCGCGTAAGAAGAAGCATGTCGAGCTTGGCGCGGAGAAGACGCACGGCGGTGCTCGGTTCGAAGCGATGGTGGCAAGGCGGATGCTGGGCCACCAGGAGCCACCAGGAAGCGTACTTACGCAAACTCTACGGCAGAAAGAACAATCAAGATGCCAGGAATAGTGGCAACCAAAACGACGAGGATGTCGCAGCGCGTACCGCCGGTATCGATGCGCCTTGGGCGACGCCCGGTGTTTATGATCTTCCAACCATTACCGACTCCGAGCATCATTACCTGGACGCATTTCTGAGAAATCGCGAAGACGGCGCGAACGGCAACAACGACGTCGTCGACGATGTCGTCGCTGTGGTGGTTGGGTGCCCGGCGTTGGCGACGTCGCGCGCGAGTCCGACGGAGAAGTGCGTGGAGTTCCTGAAGGGCGCTCATCACGATGGTGGAACCAATTTCGGTCGCCGTGCCGCGGGAGACGCGGAATGCGGCCGCATAGCCGATTGCGGTTCGATGCATTCGAGTTACGATGCGACCGCCGGTTGTTCCGAGTAAGTTGCCACTGTCGGAGAGAGGAATTTTTCGACATTTTTTTCCGTGGACGTAAAATTGTTCTTTACGGAAAAACTCAAGGAAGTCACGTTATAAAAAAAACACTGTGTGTTGTGGTAAAATGTGAAGCATTTATTCTGAAAGCTAAGTGAAGAATCTGTGCATATGTACCTACATTGAATGTGTGGAATATTTCTGAATAAAAATGTAAAATTTTAATTTTGAAGTGCCAGTTTTTTCCAAATTATACTAATAAAAATTAGGAATTTTTTGCAAATTCTATATTTTACAGGCAAAGTAATATTTTATTTTATCTAATTTTAAAAGTAATATTTTATTATATCTAATTTTTAATATAAGTTTGATTTGAATTACAGTGATTTTCAAGTTTGAATTACGAAGTGATTTTTAAGATATTTAACTCTTAAACGTCACATTACGCGGCAATACTTCAGTAAAGTATAGTCCATATTCGATTGCTAACTTTCATAAAAATAAATATATCGTAAAAAATTTTTTTAGTTTAAACGCCAGACATTAAGGAACATAACGGTACTAAGTAAATATCTTTATTAATAAGGAAATACTACATATGCACGAGTTGCGATGGAATCAAACGATATATTCATAGAAATTAAATTTACGAGCCAGAAATTTAACGACGCGAATATTTCGAAAATTAAAAATCAAATGCCGTATGTGACTGAACATTATTAGTTTGTTTTTATTATCTCGTCTACTTTCACGTAGATTTATCTAGAACGCAATTTCCTGTTTAACGGTTTAATTTAAATCTTCGTTGTCCTCGATGCAGGAAAACGACATATTTGTACAGCCCACAGCGAAACTTGTATTAATCATGAATCGTTTCTCAACTGTACGGTGGAAAACATCCTCACACGAACGTTTTGATAGCTTAAGTGCTCGCTGATCCAAAACATGTGGAACAGCACGTGCGATTTCTTTACACGCTCGCAAAGCGAAAAATTTTAGATTGAATCGTATCGATTTATTCAAGCGAGGAACTAAGTGCCGTCAGCGGTAATATCTAGTTAGGCAGTAATAATTCAGCATTCGTTCTATTTTGTCGTACATCATATTCAATTTCTCTCGTTACCGCGCGTTCCCAATTTTCCTCTTGTATCCTCACATGTGTAAGACACACTAATAAGCGCAGAAATATTTATGGATTAAGCAGAATTTCTAGATTCTGTTGAATATATTATATTTTGGATTTTAAGTTCTACACTCGGTTCTACATTTCAGAATTCTAGGCTACCCTAAGCCAGATAGATTTTACAGAATTTAGATCTGTAATTAGGTAAAATTCCAGGCTTTAATAATAGGAAGATCCTAAATTGTAGGTCTGTAATTTAATTCAAGGAAACATGAACGTAAAAACACAATTACACAGTTCCTGAAGGATTACTCCCGTGAGAATCCTTTTACATCTAACTTGAGATCTTATAGTATCTTGATACATATATTGTAAATTTATTATATTTAGCATGTTTCTTTATCTCATTTCCCATTAGACATTATAAAAAATACAATACATAGGCTGCGTTCCATTTGATAAAAAAATTCAAGAATTTTCAAAGAATATTTTTTACGAATAAACATCCTGAACAATACATTATGTCAATGTAATTTGGAAAAATATTTAGATTTATTAATGAAATAAGGTTGTTCTTATGAATATCTTTTTTTTTCCAGGAAAGTGTGCAGGAGCTGCAGGTGCCCGCGAGAGGAACACCAGCGGGCTTCGACGGAGGCGGGCGGTCCTTCGGGACTCGGCCTGGGTCCAGGTCCGCCGATGGCGATGGCCATGGCCTTTCCGAGCGGCGCCGAGGGCGCGCCTCACCAGGAGCCGTTCAAGAGCCCGGTGCAAGCTGCGCCGGCCGGTCTGGCGCTGCAGGAGGCTCTGATGCAGCATCACCAGAGGCACTCGCAAAGCGACGACGACAGCGGTTGTGCGCTCGAGGAGTACACGTGGGTGCCACCCGGACTGAGGCCCGACCAGGTAGAATGACAGATTTATTTTACCATGATATAATAAAATTCTGTGAGCACGAAGCGTAGTCTAAAACAAAAATAAACACCGACAAATGTATACATGCAGCAGCAATATTTTAAAAAAGGTCGATAGTTAAAATAATAAGTCAGCTTTATTTCATCTTGATATAATAAAATCATGTAGGCACATCGTAGTTTGAAAAGGCATAAAAAATAAACACTAACGAACTTATCCGTGTAATAACAGTACTCCAAAAAAGGTCGAAGATTAAAATAATGAGACTGACAATAAGTAAACTAGATAAACAGATCAAAAATTTTTATGGGACTTTATAGGTACTTTATGTAATAATAAAGATTAATTAATTCACTGTTGAAATATATATATGAGAGAAAAAAGAGGTGAGAACGATTTCTCAGCTGTCGCGTATGCGTGTAATGCGAGGGTGTCTCCGGTGATTCGTCTCCTCGGGTACCACTGACCGCGACAGCGGGCCTCCAGATCGTCGGGACGATTACCATCGTGAACGACGACGGCGCAGTGAGTCATCAGACCGCACGCCGGTGAAAGCTCTCGCTGGATATAACGATGATAAAGCGTAATCGGGGGTTCACCCGAAAAAGGGTATGAAAGGAGAGAATGCAGAAGATACAAAATGTATTAACCGTACAGTTGTATCTTTCGAGCTCCCCTTTTTTTTGAGAGATTCCATTCTCAAAAAAAGAACATGTTCAAATTATGCTGCCGCATAACGCAATAAAAATAAGTGAAATTTCTACTTCTCTAATTTTAAATTATAATAAATTTATAACTAAACTTTATTGCTTGCTGCAACAGTAGGTTAACTTGCATTTTGTAAAAATAAACGGAGTAAATGAACTCTAAAATTAAAACATGTGATATTGATATTTTTCTCATCTAAAATTTATTTACTCCATTTTTATAAAATGTGGGTTAGCTCATTATTACAGCAAGCCCTTCAATTATGATTGTGATCCAAAATCCATTGTCATTACCGAAAATCTATAGTGTACCTAACGCAAATTATGTATGAAGTATAGGTTTTCAACGGCGGCAGTGCATTTTGGAACACAACCTATAGAATGTATTATATTGAAAGACTATTATCGTTCTTTCTTTTTCTTCGATTCCTGTCTAACGTGTCTAAAGTCGAAAGCACCCTCTCATATACCGAAATATGTTGCGGAATGTCAAAAACGAAATCATTTTATTTAATTAAACGCTCAATAGCATACAATCGGAATAATTCTATGTTAGATTTCTTCCCGCCGAAGGAGCTAACTAACGCACTCGCCGTCCATTAATTGGTTTAAGCGCGAGAGTTTCGCGTCGGCGCGGAATAGAGTCCTCTTTCTCTCTCTCGGTGATGCGTACTAGCTTTTGCGTGCCGCACGCCAACATTGTCGTTTATTTCGTGACTCCGCGTACCTACGGTACGTGCAAATCCGCTTCTCTTTCTCCTCCTCTTCTTCTCTTCGTCTCCTCCGCCTCCTCCATCCCTTTTATTTCCCGCTTTCGCTCCTCGTCCTAGCGGCGTCCGTCCGCGCGTTTTCTTTATTCATTTTAAGTGTCATTACGTCTAACGCGCATTATATATTATGACTCGGCGTTCTCGGCGAGGGGACGGTAATCCCGCGCAACAAGCTTTTCGCTCCCCCCCCCCCCCCCCCCTCCCCGCACGACGATGCCGTCAATTCGCGTTTTCGCGCGAAGATCTCGAGTGTATATGAAAGCACAACAATTCGCGCGGCAATTCGTGAAGATTTTGCGTTCATAACAAGGGAGCAATACGTGCAATACGTGCAATCTTTATGCGAATCAAAAGATACCGATATTTCCTTAAAGAACCCTTGATATTTACGAAATTCACGTTTTGCCTTCGGAATTTTATGTTGAATTTTGCGATATATTCCTAATGTATTTTCTCAAATATAATTTACGCATAAGAATTTAAAGGAGAAAGAATAATATTTTTTCTTTATTTTTTTATTTTTATTAATTTATAGCTTAAAAGTATATTACTAGTATTAGGTCTCGACAACCAAGTCTTCGATAACAAAAGATTTCATATTTGGTAGGTTTATAAATATATATTTATAAACGGTTTATTACTAAAGAAAATGACCTTGACAAAGCTTATCTGTAAATACATCTATTAATTCTAAAACACATTAAACGGACTAAAATGACTAAAATGATTAATTAAATTATGAAAAAAAATTTTAAATAGATGCTCGAATCACATTAATCGCATTTCTGTGAATATATTTATATTGTTTTTTAAATTGGAATTGAAATAATTTCCATACTATAAAAACATTGATTGTGGAACATTAATTTAATGCGATCTGGACACGCCAAGTTTTTTCTTTATTATAATCCAGTTGTGTGATATAAATAGATACAGATACAGATACAAGATACAGATCTGAAAATAATTTTGTTGGACTGTCAAAATAATTATATAGAACGCTCAAACTGCTTGCTAGCATTGCTCATTATACTTGAGATTTCTACGTAATTATTTTAATGGTTCAACAAAATTATTTTCAGATCTGTATCTAAGGAAAATTTTAAATACTTGAGAAAAATCCTTCTTTCCATATATATTTTTACTTTTTGTACTATATTTTACTATTAATCGATAGTTGATTCAGATAATTCTTGCAAAGGAGACGCGAGGGAAGAACACGACTGGCACAAACAAAAGGAACATACGCAAGACCCACGCGCGCGGCGCGAAGTGTTTAATGGCATGCACGGTGCAATTGCCACTCATAAACGGACGCGAGTCGTAATGCGGAGAAATTTACCGCTAGATTGTGTAGAAACTCGATTACACGCAAATTCCAACGGCTATCGAGCGTGCGCCGTTTCACTCACCACAGGATGATATTCTTATGGAAATACTCGCGATGACACCGAGCCCGTCACGAGACATACCGTCGTAAGAATATACGCTTGAAATAAAACCGCACGTGCACTTTTATCCCGGCGTGCCTTCCCTACTCCCTTTATTGTGATGATTCCACCGCAGCAGGTTTCCGTCCCAGTAGTATAAACGCGCACGTCAGTGTTTTCCTTCGTCTCTTCGGTATGTTGACAGTGCCCATCCCGATACTTATCTAAATTTGCGACGGTCAGAGCGAGTCTCAATGACCATCGGTTAATGTCAGCTACAGTTGACACTAAATTCTTCCCCTTGTCTACATATATCATATATCTGGTATCTATACGATACCATATGAAGAGACAAAAAGTCAGCTGAATTATTAGTTGGAATTTATTGCGGTTTCAGTTGTCAGTTAATAACTGACGATGTGTAATGCACGCATTTATATATATATATAATATATTGTATATATATAGGTATATCATCAATCTTCAATAATGATTTTTCTACATGGACAAACCAGATCTACAATTTTTTTTATTCAGGATTACCTCCTGAATTTCACAAAACTAAAAGTCAAGAAATTGTCAGGGAAATTAAAAACCGTCAGGATAATCGGGAAAAAGTCAGGGAATTTTGCAAAATTTTCTAGAAAATTAAAATTCTTAGCTTTAAAGAAGTTTAATATATGTATATCACACCTACGCAATTTTGAAATACTACCAACTTAACAATTAAAAAGCAGCAATGTCAGCAGCAGTAATAGTAATCTATATTACTATATTGAATTGATTTCTCAACAAAATACTTAACAGTTTCCAAATTAGGACAAAAATATTAAAAAATTCAAAATATTATTGAATGTCAGAGAAAATCATGTTTGTCTGGAATCAGAGAAAAATTCTGGTCGAGAAAGAGTCTAGTTGCATTAATTGAAATTCTGGTTGAAAATGTCAAATCAAAATTTTCTGATTGAACCTGTTAGAATTCTAATTCTGGTTATCTCAACTAGAATTATAATCAGAATCTTCTGATTCGTTTACTTTCAACCATCAAAAAATTTTCTTAGTGCGGGGTTACAGGTTTTTTTATATCCGAGACAAATAAATATATTTTTAATTAATCTAAAAAATATTATTTTATTTTTTAAACACAAACTCGTCCAATCACTTCGCAAACACGTCGGCACACCGCGAGCCGTTAAGAGAAGATAGTATGCTTCAAATATGGCAAAGTCCCACGCTCGATGTAAAGTAACTATAGGCCGTCGCTTCATGCAATTTTCGCGATAAGCTTGCATTATCGTTCGCACGTGGCCCGCCCCAACGTTAGCGTTTACGGTATACAAGGCTCGGTTACGAGCACACAATCAGTTTCTATCCTCCGCCTCCTCGCTCGAGACTCCAATCTGAATCCACGCGCGCGCGGTCTGTTTTCGCAGGTGCATCTGTACTTCAGCGCGCTGCCGGAGGACAAGATCCCGTACGCGGGTAGCGCCGGCGAGCGGGAGCGGGTGAAGCAATTGCTGCAACAGCTACCGCCGCACGACAATGAGGCGCGTTACTGCAGCGGCCTGACCGAGGAGGAGAAGCGCGAGCTGCGGGTATTTGCGGGTCAGCGGAAACGCGAGGCTCTCGGACGCGGACACGCGAGCCAGCTTGAGCGGCCGCATGGCGCCGGATGTCGCGAGTGCGGCCGCGCGATTGCGGCCGGCGAGATGGCCGTGGCGGCAAGCCGCGCGGGTCCGGCCGCTCTCTGGCATCCCGCCTGCTTCGTCTGCTGCGTGTGTCGTCAACTGCTAGTGGACCTAATCTACTTCTGGCGAGACGGCAGGCTCTACTGCGGCCGTCACCACGCAGAGACCCTCAAACCCCGCTGTTGCGCTTGCGACGAGATCATCCTCGCTGATGAGTGCACCGAAGCTGAGGGTAGAGCGTGGCATATGCGTCACTTTGCTTGTCTCGAGTGCGATCGGCAGGTAAGAATATAGAATAAGTATGAATTAAAGATTTTCTAAAGAAACATTGCAAGTATTGCAATCATCATTTTTATGAGAAGTTGATGTTTAATAGAAAAACGCGTTGTACATTTTTTCAATTTCCTGTAAAATTTAAAAAAATGTGGATAGAACGTTTTTCCAGAGAACCCTTCATATGACGTCAAAAATGATGACTATTCTTATTTCGCGATCACGTTGGATTTTCTTCACGTTGGAATTTAAAACAAGAAAAATGTTTTTCTTCAAAAAGAAGGAATTAATAATAAGACCATATAAATAAGAAACATAAGAATAAAAATGACTATTGGAGCCATACTCAGGTTGTTTTTTTTTTGTGAATATAATATCATAGCAATATGAAAATTATAATTATATATAATCAAACGACGTTTTAATCCTTAATCTGGTTGTCTTCAGTGATATTTAAAAATAAAGAAACGCTATCGATAAATTTTACGTATAAGTGAGCGGGGTTGTTGAACGCTAGGCTATGCCTTCAGTGGTCATTACGAAGTTCCATCTGCCATGCTAAAAGCTAGGACAAGCGGAGACAAGCTTTTAAAAATTCTGTCCGTTACATATCAATTGAGATCTCCTGATAGTCAGTATTTATAACAGACAGCATGACAAATGATTTCGATTTTCAAGCAATTCTATGTTATTATTTTGTTTCATTATATATTTTATTTAAGACCACATTCCGTATATTGGACTACATTCCGACATCATTTCAAGATTGGACTTGATAGTGCGTTTATTCTTTCTTTTGTTTTAAATTAATAATTAGATTACGTTTGTATATAAAAGTTTAGATTATAAATATTTTTTCATTAAAATTGTGAAATGTATGAAAAAGTTGCATTATGTTAATTGAGAGTAGCCTATTTCCTTGTACGTAAAATTTACATATAGATAGCAATACTGTATCATTTAATAGCGATAGCACACGCACATTCTGTGGTTAAACTTAAAACAAGGACTTTGTAGGGTCTTTCACATACATATTAAACTTTGCAGTCCCCTCGAAAAACGATAAAATTTTTTTGATTATCTGATAGATAAATATATTCATATATTTATTTGTTCCAACGCGCGCGAGCAACTAATGAAGATATTCTACATGTCTCAGTTATAAATACAGGACAAGCAACATAACGGCGCGCATAACTACTCTCCCCGTACGAAGACTGGATATGCTGCATGATGGGATCGAGTTTATAAACATATAAATGTAGAATATCAGATTTTTTCATAAGACGATTCTCTGTGCTGCGGCGAATCGTTTCGATCTAACGGTACCCGCGGGATCGTACATCGGAAACGCGCGCCACCAAGTTAATGATTACGTCGCTATCGAATTTACAGCTGCGTAGCAATTCATAATCCCGCCAGCTGACTCTATCCCCAGATACGTCTTCCGACTTAGATAGCGTCGAGAGGCACAGAAGCAGCACTTGCTTTCCGCCTTTCTCGCACCGGTTGTGTTTAGCTTCGGGTGTGAACTTGTGAATGTATTTATCACGCGCAGAGAAGACCTGGGAAAAATTCTAAGTAAGAGAGGGCGGAGGAGATTCTTATTTAAATTTACTCGACGCAATTTACTAAGTGATGATATAAGAGTTATTCTCTCCGGTTGAGAGTGCGGGATAACGTGGTATCTATATCGCGAACGTATGCGAGAAGCGAGAACTCTAAGAAGCTAACTCTTTATCAGATCGCCGCCGTATATGTAGAGTACATGCTCCAGTGAATAACCGGTCACTGGCGTACCGCCATTATCACTGAAGCTATGCTTATTTCTCCACGTTGAGATAAGACAACTTTGTTCTTCTGTGGTTGAGGAATGCGCTACCGTTTTTCGATATGATGTATTGCACGATATCCTCTTCCTACTCTATCCGAGCTCCTTTTACTTTTAAAATTGACGCCTTTCGAATTTAAACTCAAATCTTTTCCAATATCTACGAAACAAAATGATGTACTATACAGCCTCCCACTAAGCAAGGAACGTTCAGTACGTTTCAGAACGTTTCTTGTTTACTGGGCTTGACCAGAAATATTAGCCATCTATATTTTTTTTATTAATCTAAAATTCTTTTATACCTGTATTTCCTGCTAGTTACCAACATTGTACATAAACTTAAATAGTTCTTGAAACAAAGAATAATTCACAGTCATAAATCAATTTTTGAACGAAAATGTTAAATAATGGTTAATAAAGTTAATATTTTTGGTTGAGCTGTACATACATAACATACGACACGTTTATTTACAAAAATTAATGTGTTTCATTTTTTTGTGCTCTAATCGCGTGCGTCACTCGAATGTGGTTTATACTTGTTTCCATCAGTAAATTAACTTTAATTCAGTTCAACTTACCTTTTTCTCTCTAGTCCTAAGAATTAGAAAAAGATGAAGGATAAACTGAACCGAGATTAAAGTTAATCTTCATTAGTGGAAACTACTGGTATTAATCTTTCATTTTTTGAAGTCTCATCTTCTATATATGATTTCCATTCGTCTAAACGAGCGATTCACCGTTTTTCAAGATAATTTCAGAAAAGCAAAGACGAACTAATTATACAAACGAATGTTTACGATTGAACGTGGCGATCGAACGTTTTTTTTAATTCTAGAATATTAGCGATATGTATATTTTACGTACAACTGAACGAGTTCATTGAGATGTATAATTCATGCAGCATTAAGTTATGCTTTCAGTGCACTTAATGCTCAATGAATTATACATTCAGATCATCAAAAAGTCCAATCTCTACTAAAAGCTAACGGAGACAAGTTTTTAGAAATTTAGTTTATTATACATATTGATTTGAATCTCCTGCAGATAGTCAATGCTGTAACAGAGAGCGTAATAAGCGATTTTGATTTTTAAACAGTTTTGTGTGTGTATCATTATATATTTAATTTAAGTGTTATGAGGAAACATATTAGATTACATTCTCCATACCATTTCAAGATTGAATTTGATCGTGTGCTTATTCTTTCTTTCCTTTCAAATTATAATTAGGTTATTTGTATCAGAAAGATTTTGATTATACACAGGAATATTATACATATGTAATAGCTCGCAGTTCGGAGCTCTTAACGTAATAAAATAGGATTACCTCTACTTCATTTTTAAACATGAAATTCAGGGCCCTATTGGGCTACGATTCTATCACTACTCTCACTCACGCTACTCACGTGCGTCGAACGCCTATGGAAAAGATTTTCTGTGCTATTAAGAGGTTCGCTACTTTGTGGTATTTAGTGTAAATATTTTATCATTAAAATTGATGTGTGTTCATTTCTTATATTTAAGATTGTCTTAAATAATCTTTAGATGTAAGTAGTCTTAAGAGTCATAAATCCAATTACAAAGCAGTATTAGCATCTTAAGTAATGTCTTAAGATGCTAATACTGTTCTGTGATTGGCTTATGACAAATAAAAACTGATAGCCGACTGATTACCGATGAATGCCGACCTAAAAGTGAAATGTATTAAAACTTTGTGTTATATAATATTAACAGTGGCTAGATGTGCGTAAAATTTATACATTGATAGTATAATATTGTATCACTCAACATTAATAACGTCCTAAATTAATAGCGAGTTAATGTATCAAAAGTGATACAATATTTATCAATGTAGATTCAGGATTGTTTATACCGCAGCATCGTCCGCCTGTTCATTGAAACAGACTTATTCATTCATGTTCATTTTTACTTGATCTGGTTCCACCTTCGTAGACGTAAATTCACGCGGAGTGCATCTTCTTCTGTTTACAGCTCGGCGGCCAGCGGTATGTGATGCGAGAAGGTCGGCCGTACTGTCTCAGGTGCTTCGACGCTTCCTTCGCTGAGTATTGTGACAGCTGCGGCGAGCCGATCGGCGTCGACCAGGGCCAAATGTCACACGAGGGTCAGCACTGGCACGCGACCGAGGCTTGCTTCTGCTGCGCCACTTGCCGCACTTCTCTTCTGGGCCGGCCGTTCTTGCCGCGACGTGGTGCCATTTACTGCAGCATAGCGTGCAGCAAGGGGGAACCGCCGACGACACCGAGTGACTCCTCCGCCGGGCCGCCCCCGCCCCCGTTGTCCTTCCTCAGGTACATACTCTGCTCCGCGCGGTCTCTCGCATACCTCCTCGCCTCGAGGCGAGGGTCACGGGGGTTGCTTTCATTGTCCTGCCACCGACTGCGGGGGTTCGCGCACGGATCCGCAAAAATTATAGCCGCCGGTAACGTCCCGCGATTACGCATGAGCTTGCGAACTGTACACCGCTCCCGAGTTCGCAAGTAACGGAGTTGCACGCCGAGAAATTATTACGGTGGCAATAAATTATACTAATGTAGCCAGTTTCACTATATAACTTGTTTCGCTTTGAAAATGGCTGGTCGGAAATGGGAGAATCGTTGAAACTGAGAATAAAGTTTGCCGACATTAGTTAAGTAGACTGGTCTTACGTTCTGTCCGGATCAGGACTGAAATCGTGATAAATAAAAAATAATTGTCGAATCGTTTATTTAATCATCTTTAATTTGCGTTTAAATATTTTAATTTTATTATACAAGTGACAGGAAATTATTTAGGTTTTTTATTCAGCTTCTGATTTGAGCGATATACATGTTTTATAAACGATATTCAGGTTAGTATATAGGTATTATCGCTAACGAAATCAGAGCCACTTGGATCATATGCTTGAAGACATGTTAATGCGACACCTATAGAGCGGCGCCTTTCGTGGTTGAATTTAAATTCGGCTTATATACATAACGACCTCGTTTCGGAGGCGTGCACAAGGAGGGCTGAATGTCGCATTTAAATTTCATTATGCATCTAATTGTCGACAATTTTTAGCATGCTGTAAATGTAGATATAATTTAAATTCAAAATGAGAAGTAATTAGTAGCACACTGCAACATAATTGTTTGACGAGATAAAAATTTTAATAATTTTTATCTCTGATATATAATATGTTTTAATTAATTAAAATGTGAAGAAGATAGAATATCAAGAAATAGGTTATTATAATTAGATATCTCTTTACGAAATACAGCAGTCGAAATTATATTTTTAATTATATTAAATATCATCACTTTTATATTTATTGTTTTTGTTTTAACAAATTACATGATAAAATCTAATATATTTTTATTTTCTAGGAGTGGTAGGAGGCAAACGATGGCTACGAGCGAGGGTTCGTCGAGTCCACCTCCACCGCCTCCACCTCCGCTTCCTCCAGGTTCGAGGCATACCCTCGGATCTCCTAGGAATTCGCCTCGAATGACCAGAAGACATCAACAAATTTCCGCTTCCTTGGCAACGACGCCCACCCAGAGTACCCAAAACGCTCTGAGCCCCGAGTTTGGCGCGGAAGGACTTCCTTCCAGCGGTTCCAGACCCAGTGGTCTCGACAGAGTACTTTTGGAGCGAAATCTTGAGAGACTGTTGCAGGAACGTGGCTCTAATCCTGACGAAAACTGCAGTGAGTTGGGAAGGTACGTCACTTTACTATATGAAAACTCGAATTAACAGCGTGATCTGAGTACTGTGATTTATTTTCAATGAGCTATAAATATATAGTAGGCAACATTTGAGTTAAAATTTCGAAACACCTAAAATAAGTAAAAGTACCACCAAAATCTAAAAATAGAGAGGTATCTAAAAATCTATTTGTTCTGTTTACCCTATAGATCTAAACAGTGATAATCGAAATTTATAATGATCGAAATTTGCAAGTATGATCAATATATATTATACTTTCAACCTACACTTCCATTCACATTTTTTTTCAAGAAATGCATTAATATATAAATCGCAATTGTATTGCAGGCTGATGCAAGCGCGGGATCGAGAACCTTTGAGATGTATCCAGAATTGCACACCTACCCACGCATCGAGTATGCCGGAACTGCCGCCACCTCCGCGACCATCGTCGGGAGCGTCAATGTCAACATCGACCGCCGGCGCGGCGTCCGCCGGCGTTCTGTCGCAAGAGCCGGCGACGTCACCGGCCAATCCCGGGATTGGAGCCAGCCAGACGGATCCGCCGACGCCGACGTCGAGACGTGTGCGATTTCAGGGAGATCTAGATGTCAACGATCACAGCGCGACGTCGCGCATCCCTCTCTCACCAACCAACGACCGGAATTCGTCATCGTCGCCTTCGCCCACGTCGCTGTCGAGAACGAACGTGTCACGATCAAGAAGTCTGCAGCCCGAGGAGGTCGCTAGCACGTCTTGGGGTAAAATCCTTGTCTTAAAAAAAATGTGTGGATGATTTATATTTTGATGGATGATTTTTTTCTTCTTTACACTCCTGTATGGCTTTCCAAGCCACTTATAAGGGTCATAGTACCATGCGATAAGATGGATCTTTTGATCCAGCGTATGCCTCTTCGGGGAGCACACGTAAATATTCCACAAAAATTTGAAATTTCCGTAGTCTTGATGCCAAAACAGCGAAATCAGAGACCTCAGGATTCAACTTTAGTTGAAACCGACCCGAAAAGCGTACTTTTCAAGCGAGAAATCAACTCAAAACAACATTAGTTTCAATAAGACTTATAAGAGTAAAAATTAGTATTATTAATAAATAATATTAAAACCATTTAAAGCTTTAACACTCGCCTTAGCAGCCACATGTGTTATAGAATAAGGAGAAAAAATTTCAAGATCAAATATTGAGTCAACTCAGTTTTATAATTCTCATAATTAGGGCAAGCTCAGAAAATATGATTAAGATTTTGAAAACGAAATCCACAGTTAATCATGATCATCTCAAATATCAATTTTGAACAAAAAAGCATTGGTATAAAAATCCGTAATATATATAAAATGGCCTTACTAAAATCCGATTTATTAATCCTCCAACTTTTCGAAGAGACGTAAATTAATATCATTTAAAAACTGTATAGTATCTACCATTCTTGTTAAATGGGTTCTGTTCTCATTTACCAAAACATATCTTTGCAGGAACGGCAGGCACGTCTAGGTCAAGAATGGATGGCGAGGATGACGACGTCGAAAGCTGTTGTTCGACATGCAGCTCATCCAGCAGCTCGGACGAGGCCGCGGCTTACGCGCTACCACCACGACGAGCTTACGGCGGCGTCCGGATTTCTTACGTGCCAAACGACGCAGTGGCGTGCGCGCGAAAACGCGCGCCCGCTTCTTCGTCATCATCGAATCAAGCTCAGAGGGATACCGAAAAATGCGTCATATCTTGATAACTCCTTCGGTACTCTACGAGTTTCGATCTCGCTCCAGCATAATGATAATTAGGAGAACTACAAACGACGTCTGAGAAAGAGTTCCTACAAA